GGATTTTTAAAATATGAAATTATTGTGGCAACTACAACAATGTCGAATACCAGGAAAATTCTTTAATAATGCAAGCTTTTAGATATTTGTAGACCCATTCCGTTATAATAAATTCCGTTATAAAGAAAGAAAAATATATTCAGAGATTCAGTGATAACAGTTCAAAGTAAAATATGTCAATCCCAAATAAAATTTTAATGTGTGTATGACTATTTTTAGTAAATACCATTTTGATTTTTATGTTATTTATCATGGCCTACTAATAAAACAATGATATATTTTAAATATTGAAGTAAAAAGTGAAAATAAATATAAAGTGATATATATTTTTAAGAAGCTCATGGCAAGACGGATCATATGTGTTCCATTTAAAAAAACATAACTTTAGTTCATATTTTCAAAAATATTTTTTCCGTAGAGAAACAGACTACTCCACTGTATTCTACGTAAAAAGTTCTACAAGAATCAGTTTTCACCTTCTCGATATCATCCACAATAATGGAGATACGGGTGCTGTCCCAAATTGCAAAATTTTCAAAAAGACCCTGTAGCGCATAAACGAAGAGCGCTATGAAAATTTTGTTTACGGCATCTGCCGTTTGACAAAAAAGTGGGACAGGTTTGTGCAAACATCACCCTTCTAACTTCACTAATAACGGAGATACCCTATGATTTCAACCAAAATGGGACACCCTGTATAGTACGTCTGTTCGTTCTGAGGCTACGGGGTATCGGTGAGAGGGGAAACGATATTCTCTCGAGGTTTTTCGTAAAAAATTAGACGACGCGTCCCATCAATAAAAATTCGACAAATTTGGAAGTAGCCAATAAAATGAGTGGGCGGAGCGATTTGCGGTGACGTACTCGTCAAGTGGACGTATAAAATATATTGCTGTTTATTTAAATGTTTTTTGTCCGCATTCCTTTCATAGACACAGATCCAGCAAACGAACTGTACTAATTGCCAAGGTCAGTCTTGCTCCAATATTGACTTAAATACAGATGAGGATTTTAATGAGGAGACAACTGATGCATTTGTCATAGATGGATTTACAGATATTCCGCAAGAAGATGAGAAAGAAGAAAGCGAAGAAGACATTACTGTTGAAGTATCATTTGAAAATTACCACTCAGATTAAAATTCTCCCAAAATCAACAATCCGTTCGACTATAATCATTACCAAGAGCACCATGTTTTAAAATTAATAGTACCGTATGATCGAATAAAAACGGCGTCAGCGATGGCTATGAAAGATCGCTGTCATTTTATATGTAAATTTATATAGGAAATGCCATCGACCGTCATTTCCAAGACAAACTGGACGCCGTTTTTATTCGATCATACGGTATAATGTGTAATAAAACTTAGTTAAACCACAATAGATCGTGGACTAGGCCTACAGGGGAAACCACGTTAAAAAAACGCGCCAAGTACACTACCTCACAGGTGGTGCGGAAATGTGTGCATATCATGAAAAATACGAGTTTTTCAACTTTTGAAATCGCCATATCTCATTAATGGTGGTTCGTAAGAAAAAAGTATAAGAACCATTATTGTAGAAAATTTAATTGTCTACAACATTTGTTTAAGGTACTTTTGCGATAGCGCTTACCGTTTAGGAGAAAAAAGCAAAAAAACATATTTTTGACTTTTGGCCTTAAATTTTTTTAGCAGAGGTGTGAGGGGTGGGGACTTTTCAGATATCATTTATAATAGTGTATTTAAGACCTGTACCAATTTTCAGCTCTATGCGAATTATTGTTAATTAAAATGTCTATTTTGACTGGGGTAAAAAGCAATAATTATTTTCTTAAATGACTGATTCTAAATATTCTGATATATATTTTAGCGTTAAACTCTGTTTAAATCTAAAGATCCTAACTCTGAAATTTAATGTCAGTAAATACCCTGTATCAAAGACCATCGAGTAATACTTTCATTATTATTAAAACCAACAATTAGTGTAAAAATATTCGATAAACAACGGTTTTTATGGGTCCAGAAGCTTATTTTATGCTACAGATATTTTTAATGATAAATCGAAATAGTTTCTATCATTTTTACAATATCATTTTGGTTTAATTTGTTTTTTTTGTCATATATATCTGATTTTTGTATTTGTCATCCTAGAGAGAATCCATAACCTAATCCAGGAGAAGTACTTTTTACTACAGTACTGAGCAAAAATAAGATATATGCGACTGAACTTATCACTGGTTAATACTTCTAGATATCAACTCTAATCCTGAGAATATATATTTTCTAAAATATAGCCAACAGTTCATAATTTTAAAGATCAAATTATAAACTAGGATGGAGAAAAAACGCAACTGAAAAATGTTTCGTCAAGTTTAAAGTGTTATATTTTTTTTATTTTGAGCCCTATTTCCGTGATTTTTTTAGTAAACTGTATATAAATATATCAACTTTAATTCGTAAACTCAGTTTATTATAAACTAGAAAACAAATTTCTTGCAGTAGAGGTATATAATAAAATTATATAAGGGTTCTTGCCACTTAACTGCTAATATAGAAATTTAATTCTACGCTGTGTTTGTCATAATGCGGATCAACCTGCTCTCACTACCGGTTTCGGAGCCCTACTCCATCATCAGGTGAGCTTGGGAGATCGGAAAGTATTGGTTAGATATTAAGGCCCGAACGACAAGTCGGAATTAACTATATCTGCGCTGTGGTTGTCATTTTGTGGATCTCCCAAGCTCACCTGATGAGGGAGTAGGGCTCCGAAACCGGTAGTGAGAGCAGGTTGATCCGCATTATGACAAACACAGCGTAGAATTAAATTTCTATATTAGCAGTTAAGTGGCAAGAACCCTTATATAATTTTATTTATTATAAACTTTAGTACTTGACTATTATACAGTGTTAATCGAATAGTTGTTTTTTAGTCTATCTTTAAAACACCCTGTGCAATAATTTCGTCAGTAAATTTTCCTAAAACGTTATGTTTCGGTCAGAACCATGAATATTTCGTTTTTTGACTCATGACAACACATACCTTGGTTAATTTTTAATAGCAAAATATACTTGCCACAAACATTTTGCAATTTTTTTGATTATCGTCACTTTTTGATGTTATTCTTCACAATGACGAGGTGGCTTTGGTGACTATTGTTGTGTACGATTGAATATGGTTCTTAGTGTCGAAGATTGTGCAAAAATCATTGATCTTGTTGAAGATGAAGACGAAATTATGAATATTCTCTTGTCCTTTGAAAAAGAATAGGAAAACTTAACACAATATGATCGAATAAAATCGGCGTCAGCGATGGGTATGAAATGAAGATCGCTGTCATTTTATATGTAAAATTATATGGGAAATGTCATCGATCGTCATTTCCAAGCCAACTGGACGCCGTTTTTTTCGATCATACGGTATTTGCAGCCTCATTGGTAGTTATTACTGTTATCTTTTTTAATCTCCTTAGTTCTGTTAGTGTTACTAATATTTATTAAAACCAAGCCTGTATCGTTACTTTTTAAAGTTTATTAAATTTTAATATAGAGTTCTAATTAGAGGTGTGTAGTTCGTGAACGAACTAGTTCCAATGAACTATTCCGACCCCGGAATGAAAGGAACTAGTTCCTGGTTTCTCAAAGAACTAGTTCCTCAGGACCTATTCCGGGATCGAGACTGTGACCGATATATAATAATATGCAACGGCGACGGATCGGCCAGCACGCATAGCCTGATGGTAGGCAGGTGTGTGGAGTGCCAGCCGTAAGTTATCGGATCGGGACCTAGAGGAACTAAATAAAAGACTAGTTTACGTACGTACGGATCGGGCCAGCGCGATCGATGCTACGCAGGAGTGGGGAGTGCCAGTCGTATGTTATCGGATCCGGACCTAAAGGAACTAGAGGAACTAAATAAAAGACTAGTTTACGTATGGATCAGCCAGCGCGATTAATGCTAGGCAGGCGTGGGGAGTGCAAGCCGTATGTTATCGGATCCGGACATAGAGGAACTATTAAAAGACTAGTTCACGGGAATCTATTCAGTCGGCAGATCCGAGATATAATACAGGGCGACTACGATGGATTAGGCCTTGTCTATTGCCACAGCCGGCATAATTACCACAGAAAATCGTCGTGGATACTGTTTTTGATTTTTAGTTTGTTTTTAAATATTTTATGGGAATGTTTTACTTTAGGTCCCTAAAATTAAGAAATATCTTATAAAACGAAGTAGATATTCTGAATTTTTAGACAAAAACAAAAAGCTTGAAGTGAGGAAAAATGCAATTTTTCGTAAAATTTTTGTAATATTTGCTCCAATTGATTTGTGATATAATTTTTTAAACTCTGATTTGAGTTTCTTTTTTACTTTTTTTATCTGCAATAAAACTTACCTATATTTTTTTAACATACACAATTACACGTCTCGTTATATCTCCGTACATTATAAAAATTATACAGATCATACTGTGAATAGTTCTGACTGACAACAAAATGCATTAACAAGCAAGGGGGATGTCAATGTTAGTCGGCAACTATTGTGAACTAAAGACCTAGTTCAAAGAACTATTTCTCTGGAGGAACTAGAACTAAGGAACTAGTTCCTCCCAAGGAGAGAACTAGAATTCCCATCTCTAGTTCTAATACAGTGTCGATAAGGCAATAGTCATCAAAGTCACCTTCTGATATGAAAAAATAACATCATAAAGTAATGATAGTTGAAAAAATTGCAAATTGTTGGAGGCAAGTTCATTTCTTCCTTAAAAATTAACCAAGACATGTGTTGATATGAGTCAAAACACAAAATGCCCAAGAGAGGTGGTTCTGGTCGAAAAATAATGTTTTAAGAAAAGTGACTCACGAAACTATTTCACAAGGTGTTTTAAAGTTAAGGTAAAAAGCAAACCTTCAATTAACCCTGTATAATCAGCCAAATACTAAAGTTTATACAAAACTGAGTTTATGAATTAGAGTTGATATTTTTACATACACAGTTATCATTAAAAAAATCATGAAAATAAAGCTAAAAATATAAAATATAACACTTTAAACTTGACGAAAAAAAAAATTCCGTTGCGTTTTTTTGCATCTGAATGTTATATTGTCACAAACCAGTCAGCTGACTAACAATCTGGCTTTCTTACTCGCACAGAATAAGTCCAATCGTCCTTAAAGTAAACAAAGTAGATAAGACCTACTGTGTTTAGTTGGATTACCAACAACTGCTGTCTACCGACACACTTAACTAGTGTCTAAATTTACTCTTAAGAGAACTACGATCTCTCCTGATAGTGGTTCAATATTAATTTTGTTTATCACATCAAGTTTTATCATGAGCCACCACTTTGTGAAAATGAACAGACTCCATAATTATATGATCTCATTCAGCTTGACACTTAGCTGTCACACACAGCCCATTAGACACCAAAGAGACCATTATATTCAAAGTTATAAGCTAATATCAGAAGCAGAAACCAGTCATATCTCATGTTACTCATTTGGAATATTGGCCACCAGCGCTAAAACGGCTAAAATCTTAACTAATTACCCTAGATAACAGTCTGAAAAAATACATAGCAATTTAAGGCCTATTTACAATAATTCTCGAAAGCGGTAACTTTGGGAATAACGAAAGTACTGATGACAGACCACCAGTATGATAAGAGTATTCTAAAAACGGTTTTACACTACAAATATTATTTATATTTACAACTTTTTAGATTGTACAATTTTATTGATTTAGAACTGAAATTATACGATCGAAAAAATTGAAAAATATAAAATGTGTTTTGAAATTATAGTGTTTTTACTACTAAACAACACTTATATATAAATTGACGCATCCCTTTTTAGGAACATGTCAATTTTTGATATAATTTAATTTGTACTAAACTAAAACATTTTTAAATAAAAGATTGTATAGTGTAAAACAGCCTGAAAAGAGTAATTTACTGGACCCATGCCGCCGGTACCCATAAAGGTTCTGTTTCTACACGATTTACTGCTGCTAATAGTTTACCGAAAGCGGTAACTAAGTCATCGTTTACAATGGTCTCGTCGAAGAAGTGATCGTAAAGGAACTCGATCCTTTCTGCGTGTTTGATCATGTCCTTGAATTCATCCTCCTGTAAAATACGCAAAGTAAAATGTCAATTTATGTGGCCTACTCCCTCCACAGCTCTACTATCAGTTACTCAACATATTTCTCAATTTTGAATGCCATCTACACTATACAGGGTAATCCGAACTATTTTCCGGAAACTTCGGCAGCATATTCTGTAGATAAAAATAAGTAAAAAAGTTCGTATAAATGTATGTCCTAAAATGCTTAGTTTCGGAGATACACGGTGTAGAAGTTTCATTTTTATTTCGATTTTTTCAAATAATTTCTGAAGTAACGTCAATATTTTGATTAAAATTGGTGTCTGGGAGTTTTTTGACATGAGCAATTTGGCTTTTGATGTCAATATAACTCCTATTTGTAGGGGGCGCTACCTACATGCGTTTTGACTGTTTTGAAGAGTAATAACTTTTCGTCCGTACTTGTATAAAACTACTGAGTAAAAAAATAAACATTTTCGTGATTTTTTACACAAAAAATGTCTTTGGGTAAAAATCGCGACGAACAACCGATCTCAAGATATTTAGAATGGAAATAGTCAATACATGTCATTATTGACAAAAAAATAAACATGTTGAGTAGATAGTTATTTGACTGAAATGATAAATTTGATAAATTTTTATTTTTTTAAAATTAATCATAAATTTTTCTTCGAAAAAATGATAATAAAACAGTTTCTGATGAACTTTTACCACAAAAACAGTTCAAATTTATGATTTCAATCTAATAACTATTTAGTCAACATGTTTATGTTTAATTTATGTCAATTATGACAGGTATTGATAATTTCGATTCCAAATATCTCAAGAACCATTACTCGTAGCGAGTTTTACCAAGAGACCTTTTTTACGAGGAAAACGTCGTAAATGCATATTTTTTACTCAGTAGTTTTATACAGGTACGGACAAAAAGTTATTACTCTTTAAACCAGTTAAAAAATATGTAGGTGGCGCCCTCTACAAGTAGAAGACATATATCATACATCAAAATCAAGTCTCTCATGTCAAAAAACTCCCAGACACTAATTTTCATCCAAATGTTGACGTTACTTCAGAAATTATTTGAAAAAAATCGAAATAAAAATGAAACATTTAGGAAATACATTAATACGAACTTTTTTACTTATTTTTATCTGCAGAATATGCTGCCGAAGTTTCCGGAATACAGTTCGGACCACCCTGTATAATTTAAAAGGGTTTTTTCCAACTTATGGCCAGTCGCCTTTCAGCATTTAGCCAGATTATTATTATTATTATTATGAGCGTTTTTCAATTATTATCTACACGTTTCTATATTCTTAAACCTAAACTTAAATACTAAATCAGACAAACACAGACACACGCACACATTAATATGCGACCTCATTTCGACCACAAGGCCAACTTAAAACAGGGCTTGAAACAAGTGTTTTATACATAACCCTAACTTTAGGATTAAAGTCGAGTTTAAAACAATAACAACTGCTATAAACAACACATGTTAAAGATAAATATATAAAAGATTGATAAAACATAAAAGATTTAATAAAAAACTATAATACAATATAGAATAGAAAAAAATACCTAACTCTGATAACAGAACTAATAAAAAACATGGTACTTAAGCCCTCAAACCTACTATTCTGTGCTACAATTCGGAGGACACCATTATGTTCTCTAAAAATTGAATTTCGCCGCTTTATCGTTGCTCAACCTATAGCCTACTTGTTAATGTCAAATGCAATTTACATTATATGTAGTTTAGAACAAGTATTAAGTAGTTAAATAATATTAATATTAAACATAATCCCGACAAAAAAACCCGACTGATACTATTAAAAAAAGTTACCGTAAAGCCTCTGGAATTGTTGACATCAAAGGTACTTCTTGCGTGACTGGCCATCCGCGTATCTTTTAGCACCTCCAAACTAGGAGGTTTGATGTAAATTATATAGGGTTTAAGTTGAGGAGTGCGCAGAATCTTCAGAGCTTGATAATGAGGGTTGAGAACGCACACGTGACCGGCACTTACAATGTCTTTGACGTTCTCAGCGCTGGTACCTATTATTTTTTTTGATTAGTTAAAAAAAAGGTAGTAAAAATCCAGCCTAGAATCTTTACCATATAAATTTCCTTTATATTCTCCATACTCTATGAATTTTCCTTTATCTATATCTTCCTCCATTTGTTCTCTGGTGACAAAGAAATATTCTTTACCGTCTACTTCGCCTGGTTTTATTGGTCTGCTAGTAACTATAACAAATTGAATAAAAAGTCTTACTTTTTTTATAAATGATGAATGAATGTTAACTGAAAATAAATACTACAATCAATAAGTAAGTACCAACTTATTTCTTTGTAAAATAAGTACCAACTTATTTTTTTGTAAAATAAAATCAACTGCTTTTTAAAAAAAATAAAAAATGACAGACTCATCTATCCAAGGTATAGGCTGCATTCAGCAGACGCCACCGATTAGTAATCGATAACTAATCATATTCTGAACGCACCTAAAAATTTCCGATGAATAATCTCCGATTGGTAATCCGACGCCATTTTTACAATCGTTCTCAAAGAGCGATTTGAGATTAGCGATTACCTATGTAATGTAATTCTAATAAAAACAGATAAGTTATAATAATTGTTTATTAACACAAACATCCGAAACGCTACTGAAGCAGGTAATTCAAATTGACGTATCTAAATTCTTTGACAAGTAGTAAATAAAATCAAAAATGCAAGAAAAAATATATAATTATAGTTAATTTTAAGCGAATTTCATAAATGATCGGTTTACTACACGTATGTATATAGTCACTTACTAACAAAAAGTTATTCCATTATTTTCATTGATTTTTGCCCGAGATCTACCGCACGCTACACAACCAACTATTTTACAGTCTTTTTTAATAAATTGCAATAGGGTCATTTTTAATTTAAGTTCTGCCGTAATTTCCTTCTAGATTTACTGCCTTTAAACAACTATCAGTAGTAGAATAAATAATATATATCATAAAATAAGCTCAGTAAAGACTGACAAATCCACAAAATTTCAAATCAAATTCAACTGTGTCAAATGAATCGTCAAACAGAACTGTCAAGGATCCCCACCCTAGGGCCCTTTGTCCGTCTACCTTGCATGAATCCATGGATAACATTATACTCCTTCCTTAATCTAATCTTTTTATTCAAAGAGTTTTATACATATTTTTTATAGTATTTTAACGTAATCATTGTCAAAATAAAAACACTAAATCACCACAATACAATATATAATCATCTGCTGATGATGCTAACATGGTTAGCGAAACGCGCGTCCAGTGTAAAAGTAAAAGTGTTTTCGTGTATTGTGGTGATTTATTGTTTTTATTTTGCTGTGTAACACCGAAGGTTCCAAACCTCAACTGTAATTGTAATCATTGTCACTAAAATTTTAAATATTTATCTATTAATTTCCATTTTGCATTCCCATTGTACCAATTTATTTCTTTGTAAAATAAAATAAACTACTTTAAAATTGAAATAACAGACACATCTATAACTGTCAATGATTTTGTCGTTTGTCAGACTATAGAGTGTACTAATAAATAAATAAATAAGTGTCCTAAGTACACAGGAACCGTGTAAGAATACCTTGTACTACTATTATATTATTAGAATAAACAATACTTACATGGCGTAGGCGTTCGGTACTTCTCCGGATCCGTATCGATCAGCCGCCTCTTGAGCTCGTTCCTGCCTACCCCCGGCGGACCGATCAGCGCCACCGGCCGGTACAGGCCCGGCCTGGGGTACAGCTTGGCCACCTCCTCGTAGGTGGCGATCAGCTCCCGGTCGAAGTCGTCGTTCTCCGCCGTCTCGTAAATGATCTTCTTGGTTTTGTTTTTGGCGGTGTCGGCCACGATCAGGCAGGGTGTAGGTTTGGGGCTGCAGGTGAGGCCGTCCTCGGGCACTACTGAAACAGGACACAGCCCTGCGAGCAGGCCGTATAGTTCTTTTAGCAAGGTGAGAGGTTGTACAGTCAATTCACGAAAGACTACTACAGTGTCAGAATATTTTTATTCGGAAAAGAAATGCGTAATCAATATTTATAAATAATGTTAAGGTCTCCACAAACGCTCAGTTTTATCCCTGAAGCCGCCTGTGGAATTAAGTAAAAATATACCGAGGGTGCCATTTAAAAATCAAAAGTTGTAGTCATTTCCGGTGAAACAGGAAGTGACCAAAACACAACTGAATTCGTCAATCAATCCTAATTAATGTCATATAGTAACATACCAAATCTCGTTTTTGTATTTGAAAAAATAAAAAAAGTTACAGGGGTGAGCCACTTTTGAGACGCATCTAGTGACCAGTATACACATTTTTTTTCAAACGTCACAAAAGTATTAATTTTTGCGACGTTATTGACAATATAAAAAAGTCATTTTAACGCTTAGATATAAAAGTAGAGCACTTTTACGCCTAAGCATAAAAGTACGAAAATCTGTTATTAAACTGACATAAAGTGTCAAATTCAACGAGCGTAACCATAGTTTCTCGACATATAATTACACAAAAGGTATGACTTTTTTTTATATTATTTGGAACGTTTGAAATTGTTTAAAAAATTATTTGTGGCATTTGAAAAAAATGACATTCTAATCGGAGTAAAAATAACTTTTTGTGCCACGGCTGTATGTCCTGGATGTCAAACGTAAGCCTCGCCACGAAAAGTGTCATTTTTACTCCTAATAAAACAATATACTATTATTCTGAATGTTTTGGGCACCACCTTGATATATCAGAAATAATATTTCTCTAATTACAAAAATGTTATAAATTACGAATATAAATATTTACCGTTCTCTTCCTCCTCGCTGCCAACCAACGACCTCTCGTGGACGATACGTTTTTCCTGCAACGCCCTGCTAGGTATAAGACCTGCTCTCATATGCCTATCTCCCTCTTTTCTAGCTTGCCACCTATAATACACATGATAAACGTTAGTTTCAATCTTTAAATGAAAAAATTAAGAAGCACATCAAAAAACTTAGGTGGTGCGCAATGGGGGATTGATATAGGTTTTACTTAAACTCCGATTCATCAGAGCTGCTTTAATTTTATTTAAAAAATGTACAAATATAATGCAGGGCAAGTTCACTTTAAAATTGTTAAAAAATATATTTCCAATTAATATAGATAAGTTATAATTATTATTTTATAATAAAAATATCGGATACGCTACTGAAACAAATAAGTCAAACGTATCCTAATTATTTTTGACAAATTGCAAACAAAGAAGATCTAAATAGAAACGAGAGCAGATCGAGAACAATCTAAAAGCAACTATAGTAATCGCAAAACATTTTCCGATGCACGTCATCAATCGTATCGACATTGACACTAAAGTCTACAAACCTGACTGAATGAAATTTTGGCAAAAATATTTAAATTTGTTGAATAATTTAAGATACCGAGCAACTCTTCATTTGACTTTATAGAGCAAATGATTGTAACAGATATTTCATTTAGATTAAAACTGCAAATTTTTGCCGATGCAAATTTTTTAGTTTAAACCGAATTTTATTATCGCTATGTTGGTCACATTGCGCCGTTTTCAGCAACGTTGCCATTTATTATTTGACAACTATCCTAATGTCAGTCATTATTTTGTATAATATCGTGTTGTTGTTAAATCTTTGTGAGTAATTCTCGTTTTTTGCCTATTTTCATAGTCTTTTTTTAAAAATTACTTTTAAGCACAAACGGTTTTTTAAAAACTAAATTTTCGAGTTTTTGTATTGCATTTCTTGAAATTGTGTGTTGAAAATATGCCAAGGCATTTAAACAGTCGAAGCAAAGAGCTTGTAGCTTCCCTGATAAACTATTTTGAACGAGAACGTGACAATAAAGGCCCTTTACGACTGCAATCAGAGAAGTAAGTTTGATTGATAAGCACATTACACCACTTTCAAAGATATTTCTACGTTAGTTTTTATTCAATTCTGTGATTATTAGTCTGTGCTTTAATAGCACCCTCTTACTTGTTATTACCACTTATGGCGTTGTAAGATGAACATCAATAAATAAATAAATAACCCTCAATAACGCTTAGAATAATCTTCATAATGGACTTTTGCCAATATGTAAATATAGTAATAGTAAAATAAGCTATAAAACAAATAAATCAATTAATTACTAAAATACTACTTATTAAATTAGAAATAAAACGTAAAAATCTTTAAAAATGATATAATAACTATATTGTTTGTCACATTTAAATTAAGATTCAATCCATCACAATCTGGCAGTGCTGTCGCCATCGCTTGTCACTCAAAGTTGATCAGGTGCATCGGAAATTGTTTTGCGGTTACCATAGATATTGTCGGTCATGTTTTAGTTCCTACTTACCAGTATTGATCATCCTGGCACACGACATGCAGCACATCTCCTTTCTTAAAATCCAAACCTGCCTCCTTACAAGGTATATACGGATCGTTACAGCTGTTGTAATCGAAATGCGCCCTAACGCGAACCTTACTCTCCCTCACATTGCCCTTACTTTCAGCAGGAATCAGTTTAAAAGTAATCGTGCCTTCGGAGTTTTGCTAAAAGATTATTAAAAACATATTTCCTTAAATGTTCTCCAGGATTTAAAATCACCACCACCCACCAGAATAGTTAGAACGTCGTTGGGTGTCTTACCCTCTACGCTGATGGCGTTCACTTCCACCACCTCGTCACCCACGTGGATCAGTCCTGATCTATCTGCGGCTCCTCCGTGCATCACCCTAGCTATGACGATCTTTCCTGTTTGCTCGTCGGTTTTTATTGTCGCACCCTGTATAAATTGTTCGTCAATAAAATAAAATAGGTCGCTATAATGCGCTAATACTGGTTTGCATTACTGGAAACATAAAACGGAGACAGTCAAGACAAAGCTCATTTTGGAATCCGCTCAAACTGTTTTTTTTTTCATTTTGTGCAAAAAATAAAACAAGTAAATTATACAGAATAGGGTGTAATATAATATAAAGATATGTGACAGAGGTAGTAAGCGTTCAAGACTGAGATGATAAGTTATTCAAACTGTTGTCATTTATTATCATCCCCATTGTCATACTTATCATCCCATTCTTGTAAAGGCCGTAAGCTCGCCGAAAACAATTTTATATTAAGCATGATAACAAAATAAATTAAAATAAAGTAAAATGACCAATCAAATGCTTTATGGTCCTAATGAGGGGTCGTGCGTCAAAAATATTTATTTAAATGAAAATACCACGATCATTATAAAGGCCCTGATTCTCAATCTCTCGACAATCAAAAATTTTCGATTAAAGTGTTAAGCTTGATTTTCATGCATCCGTTATCCATTGATACGAAGGTCCGAAGGCACTCTGATTGGTCCTAGCGTATTCGCACCACTTTTCATCCATAATTTTTTTACGTCAGCTATGTCAACGGAGAAAGATCGTACGATAACGGACGTTTTGACACTTTTTTGACAAATTTAATCTAAACTTAATAAAAACATAATAGTACAAGAGCTAGCAACGTTGGGAAAACGGGAATTTTAAGAAAGCTGGTTCTTAATATATCTTTTGCTATGCTCTTCTGACCAAAGTACGGGCCGTCTGACTGCCGGTAGACTACTGCGCATCACATGTGTACAGGGTATCCCATTTTCGTGTGTTTTATGTGATTTCTCGTTTACAGTGAGTAGAGATACATTTTTTTATGAAACTAGATATGCTACACATGTTTGTCCTAGCCTCCTGAGTTCCTGAAATACCGGGCGAATTTGTGATGCGCAGTATTGAACAGATGTTGAATACAGATATGGATGCGTAGTAGTGAACGCAACGTCTACCGGCAGCCAGACGGTCCGCACTCTGTTCAGGAGAGCACAACAAAATATATATTAAAGAACCAGCTGTCTTAAAATTCTCTCTCGAAAACGTTGCTATATAGCTCTTAGACAATAAGTAGAACAGCGAAATCGCTATGGAAATGAAAATATAAAATGACACCAATCACAAGCAAAGCATACATCCAATGAGGAGGCACGAAAACGCAATAAATTTAAAAACTGCGTAGTATTCTAACTTAAATTCAACCAATAAAATTAATATCGTATCATCGGATAAGGCAATCTGTTCAAAGATTTCATCCAATTTCGATTGCATAGTAGTTGCCTAGGTAATACAATATAGTCCAGTCGAAAGTCTAGTCTTAGTTGCTTAGGTAATACAATATAGTCCAGTCAATATAGTCTAGTCTTAGTCGAAATAGGGTAGGAATCTCGGAATTTAGGATAACCTGTCAGGCTGTAAACTCGTACAAACCTTTATTTTAACATCCTAAAACATGTCTCAAAACCTACATATGATAGCGTGTGCGCGACTTATAGATAGCTGAGGTCAAAGGTCAAAAAATCGATTTTTGCGCATTTTTTGCAAATATCTCGTTCCCTTTCACATTTACGCTATTTGCATTTAATACAAATATTGTAGAGGATGACATTCTCTATAACTTTTGTTTCAAAAATTTGTTTGTACCTCAAACCGTTTTTGAGATAGAGGGCGGTGAGCGCGCACTCTTTCATTATATACGGTATCATTCAAGTTCAACCTGTAGTCTCGGTCAAAAACACGCCGTATAAAGTCCATTAATTATTGAAAAATATATAATTATAAATAATTTACATTTTTTCATAAAATATCATATTGAATATAATATTTTTTTTTCATAAATTGTATATCTAATTTATCTATCGATCTAATAAAAAGTATATCTTCATTTAATAACACTTACCTCTTTGTACCATTAGAAAATTATTAATAGAAATACTTTAATTACATTTTAAATAAATAAAGAGACAAGAAATACATTTTTAATTTATATGTCTATTAAAAAATACGATTTCATACATTTCTCATGGTTGAGATTAAAAAATGGAATAAAATTAAAAAGAACTCCATGTTCTTATTTTTAGTTTTCTTCTTCTTCTTCATCATCGTCGTCTGGTCGTTGTGGAATTTCAAATTCTTCTTCATTTTCATCTTCAACGACATTTGTCTCCAAGCCTTCTTGGATTTCGGGGTCAAATGTACCATCTTCATTGACATCACTCTGATAGGGTGAAGCATTAAGACAAGCTTGCCCATTACACTGGCCGCAAGCTAAAGAGCACGGCAACCCTGATTTCCTGCATCCACATCGCGAACCACAACCATTCTTGCAGTTGCAGAATATTGTGTTCAGCAAATTTTCTGGAGCTGGAGGTAGAATAGTAGTGGTAGGTTCCAGGAATTCATTACGCATTATCCAACCCCAGTCCTGGAATTCTAAGTCATACCCTAACCAAGTCTGAACTTGGTAGTAAACACGATTAAAATGTTGGTGAGCTGCTGCACTTGTTGGTGAAAGATTTGATAATTACACAGATTTATTCAGTTTGGTTGATTTGATGAATTGTGTATAACGAAGATGATCGATGCTGTTCTCAGATTTTGGAGCATTATTAAGCTAACAAAGTTCGCACTCCATTCTCAAATAATATTTGAACCGGACAGTTTTCATCTTGAAATGCTGCAGCAAGTTGATCCAAATCCGGAAGTTTTTCAAGTGGTCTTTATAAACTAAAGTACAATCTACAAGTTGAGCGTTTATATACTCGCTCAGTGGGCATCGAGTGGGCGTGGCAAAATCTAGCCAACCGAGTCAGAGCCCACTGAGCGTAACAGTTAGATTTCCGCCACTAGAATAGTAGGAACAAAGAACTTGAAGGAATTGGACCGTTGTCTTTGTTCATACTATCTTTACATTTACGAATTCTGATGCGTTCATATGCATCTAATTGTCTGTAATTTGAGACTTGTTTAATTAATTTTAAATTATTAATTAATTAAAATTCATAAACCGGACAAGTCTATGCTATTGTTTCGGCTGTAGGTTCTCCGACTTATAATTTGGCAAAATGGTTCTCAAGGGAGTTCGAAAATTTACCTGACCATGAACCTTCTTTCTCAGTTAAAAATAATATTGAATTCATTAACAAAATTAAAGATATAACATTGCATGAAGGTGAAATTTTGGTCTCCTTTGATGTATCTTCGTTGTTCCAAGTGTTCCAATTCCACATACTTTAGGCTACTTGAAGGAATTACTGAACGCAAATGGTCTCGACAACAAAGCTGTGATTGAATATATTGAGCTTACATCGTTATGTATGAAACAAAATTGTTTTCAATTTAATAACAACTTTTTTGAACAGCGGGAAAGTACAGCAATGGGTAATCCATTGTCTCCATTTTTGGCTAATTTATTCATGAGCAGGTTTGAAGTGGAGGCTAAGAATTAGTTTGAGTATTTTCCAAGCGTATGGTTTAGGTATGTGGATGATATTTTTGCTGTTTTTGACACACATTCAGACACCATAGATAATTTTATTTCTAAGTTAACTAATCGTTTTCCTTCCATTAAATTTACGCATGACATTGAGAACAACGATAGATTACCATTTCTAGATGTATTAGTTATTAGAAATACTAATAATTGCCTGGAATTTGATATCTATAGGAAAAATACGACCACACACAGATATATTCCTAATGAATCACATCATAGTGTTGAACATAAAATGGCTAGTTTAAATTTCTTAGTTCATAGATTACTTAGTTTCCCACTTTCCAACGAAAGATATGAAATAGAAAGAGATTACATTAGGAATGTAGCTGAGTGTAATGGATATTCACCTTCACTAGTTGATAAATTAATTAGAAAACGTAGGTATAGGTTAATAAATTCGACTTTTCAAATGGAGAAAGATACGTCTAAATATTTTTCGATACCGTTTGATAGAAAGTTATCCCGTGGTCTAAAAGGAATTTTTAAGAATGTCAATTATAAACTTGTGTATAGTGCTAATAATAAATTACAACAATTATTAGGTAATCCAAAGGATAAAACACCTCCACTGGAAAGGTCGGGTATTTATGAAATTTCTTGTAAAGATTGTAATCAGAAATATGTTGGGCAAACTAGAAGATCAATATTAACTAGATTTAAAGAACATTTAGCTCAGATAAGATATGGTAGACCGTATAAATCTTGCGTTGCCGAACATATTGTTGATAAAGAACATTGAACAAGAATAATTTAAAATTAATTAAACAAGTCTCAAATTACAGGCAATTAGATGCATATGAAAGCATCAGAATTAGGAAATGTAAAGATAGTATGAACAGAGACAACGGTCCAATTCCTTCAAGTTCTTTGTTCCTACTACCCCAAGTAGCAAAAAGAAATTCTAAAAGGATTGAATTATTTTATAACAGTCGAATAGCGTTGTCTTAAGGACTGCTTGATTTTAATAAGCGTTTGGTTTCGACCTTTCTGTTTTTTAATTAAAGTTGTCATATTAAACTATTTTCTAGTGGTTTTTACAACGTATCCTATAACGCATTAAACGATAATTTCATTTAGTATGATATAACACTCAATAAGACAATGCTATATGATAACAAACATATTATTTTATATTAGACTTTTATACCCACCATGTAAGAGTTCTATAATATTCATATAACTAGTAGTCACAAGATCATATAATAGTTACTTAAACTTGTCTTATTAAAGTTGTATTACGTTGTATGATATAATGTTTTATTGCGTTAAACTACGGTTCTGTATACAACACCAGTTATATAGCCTTACATGATAAAATTGTGATTAACAAAATAAATTCGCTGTAATATCTGCAATATAAAACTGGTAATGTATAATATAACCTCATTTTAAATTAAATAGTATACCTAGTTATTTATTTTGTTATTGTTGTTGTTGCAAAAGTAATATCTACGTACGAGTATAATCAATCACAGCTATTATGAATTCTGGACAAAGTTGGAAAAAAGTTAAAAAACGCAGTGGTAGTTATAAAGAGCATGTAAGGAAAAACTCCTCGAAATTACGGCAAATAATCCCGAGAATTCCCTGGGTTCCCAAAAGCCAAAATCTCTCGAGTTGTCTGGCTTCTTCAAAGCATTGTTTCCACGTTGATGTAAAAGTTTTATTGTAGTAATGTTTGTATTGTTTTATTGTTGTTTTTCCAAGTCCTTAGGTTGCCGCTCAGTCGTCAGGCACGCATGAAATGCATTGCGTGCACGAATGCATGAAAATCTGATCATGTTTGTTAGTTTAAATACTAATCAAATGAGATTTGGTAACATCTATTTGTCACAAATCTCAATATGTCCAAAATAGTTCTATAGTGCCTGAAAATTCTGCGTAATGATAGATATTTATCCTATACCGTTTTATTTTACAGCAAAGACTTATTTAAGGGATTCGTTTATAATAAAATGCTTGCATCATAATTCGCCATGTTTAAGGCAGAATTTTTGTATGGCCTATAGCCGCCATTATATGAAGCAAAATTAAAAACATCAAAATAAATTGTAAAATGTTATTTTTGAGAACTATTTTGAGATAAGATTCGCACATACAGTAATAAAGTGTTTAATTAAATTAAAAACAAGAATTTTTGAAAATTTTATTTTATTTTATTGTTTAAATTTATACGTAAACCTTAATCGAAATTAAAGCGCTTTAATTTTTTGCCAAATACATACCTATAATCTACCAGTAAAATTTTCGGCGCAACAAAAATTGTCCCTACTTTTCAAACCCTATTAATGATTTTTTATATTACATATTTGTTGTACCTTCTGGCTCTACCCGCCATTTTCATTATCGAGTAAAGTCTCCTTTTTAACAATCCACATCCTCTAGATTCATTTTACGACACGCTTAAAATATAATTTGCTCCTAATATTCTTCGGTAAAAATTAAAATACTCTTTTACCTCGCTAAATGATCAAACGTTTTTATTGTTCTGTTTCTTAGATGTGACCACGTAATACACAATAAAACAAGTTCTATAATAATTATATAACGCTGTGTAAAATAGTTGCATAAGAGTTGTATACCCTTTTTATAGAACTTCTATACTACTAAACGGTTGTATAAAAATGAGCCTTTTTTGGTTGTAAAGCTATCATATTACGGTCTTATAGCACGTTATATGAATTGAGGTATCCTATAAAAATTATCACATAGCTGTTTATACAGCCTTTATAAAATAAACTTTGCTACTTGGGACTCTTGGGACTCTAGATTATTAGATTTTGCCACGCCCACTCGATGCCCACTGAGCGAGTATATAAACGCTCAACTTGTAGATTGTACTTTAGTTTATAATCATCTGCTGATGATGCTAACATGGTTAGCGAAACGCGCGTCCAGTATAAAAGTAAAAGTGTTTTGGTGTATTGTAGTGATTTAGTGTTTTTATTTTGCTGTGTAACACCAAAGGTTCCAACCCTCAACTGTAATAAGTGTTCTTACAAAAGTTTTTTTTTTCTTTTTTGAAGACCACAGAACTCGTGTCACAGCGACTCACTGCGTGCAGAAACAAAATGTGTTTTTTCAAACGAGGATATTTATCAAAACTTTTGAAAGAATATATTTCAGTTTTTACATTTCCTTTTCCAACTTTTTTTAAGAAAATTTTATGGAAAATGTACTAAATTATTTTCTACTTAAAATGTAATTGGTATAAATCTAACTATAATTAAAATGTAATTAAAGTATTTCTGTTAATAATTTTCTAATTGTACAAAGAGGTAAGTGTTCTTAAATGAAGATATACTTAATTTATGAAAAAAATTATTATTCAATATGATCTTTTATGAAAAAATGTAAATTATTTATAATTATATATTTTTTAATGATTAACAGACTTTATACGGCGTGTTTTTGACCGAGACTACAGGTTGAATTTGAATGATACCGTACATAATGAAAGACTGCGCGCTCACCGCCCTCTATCTCAAAAACGGTGTGAGGTACAAACAAATTTTTGAAACAAAAATTGTAGAGGATTTTATCCTCTACAATATTTATAATGAATACAAATAGCGTAAATGTGAAAGGGAACGAGATATTTGCAAAAAATGCGCAAAAAATCGATTTTTTGACCTTTGACCTCAGTTATCTACAAGTCGCGCACACGCTATCATATATGTAGGTTTTGAGACATGTTTTAGAATGTTAAAATAAAGGTTTATATGAGTTTACAGCCGGTTATCTCTAATTCCGAGGTGAAACCCCTAAGATGACTGGACTAATTAATATATTGTTTCAATTTTGTATCTTCCTTGTGAGTTGATTTTAACAATCTATATATTTTACTTGGAATACTAAAAATCTGTTCAGTTTTATTATCCAATTTCTAAGGCATATGCGGTCGTGTAAGAGCCCAACAGACTCTCAGTGCTTTAGCACAGCCTCTGTAGACTTACATAGGTAAGCCATTATATGACCGATGACCGTGCTTCGGACTACTCGTGAACAAAATAAGCCCTGTCCAGACTAGCTCTGGCAAAAATAAAAGCGATGACGTCACAAGGATCATATTCAATTCTAATTTCGATTTTAATGTCGATTTCGACGGTCGCAAAGATTTAGAATCAGGGCCCAGGCAGACAAGAATAGCGAAGATAGTTGGCGTGTGTGAAAACAAATACATGAAATGATTTGATGTTTGTTCAGGAGCGAATACTTACAACGATGGGTTCTGCGCTTTGAGCACCAGTCTTTGCAAAAAAGAAAAATTGCGATTTAAGCAAAAAAACACTGACTTCTGCATTTATTAGTTGATTGTATAATATGTATTACCATAGTTTCTGTGTCAGTATTGAATCATGTATGAAGTTATTTGCCGATAAAAAGTGTGGATATAATGTAAATAATATAAATCACTCACCAAAGGTTCGTTACTTTTTACAAGCTGTACAATTTTGACGGTTTCTTCACTGTCGTCCTCTTCAACCGGTATGTCAGGTAAATGTGGATAGTAATCTTTTTGCGCTACAGAATCATGGGCACATAATAAACCCTACGAATGGAAACATAATAAATAAAAGTAGAATTCTTAAATAGCATAATAATATATGATTATTTATAATTAAAGCAAACCCGTAAACCCATTTTTCTCAAAAAATTAATAATAAAAACGTTTTCTGCTTGTATATACAATCCGGGGACATACTGTATAACTATAATTATATTAAACTCAATGAATTGTCAATAAAAAAATGCAATTTGTTGCAGACTTTTTGCCACACCCTGTATATGTCTTATAAGACCTCTAGCTATTTCAAACAAAACCTATTATTCTGATTAACACAAACACTTCAATAGATCTTGTTAAGATCTCAGGCCTTTATGTTTAAAAATAGTTTTGGATCAATACCCAGACCAAATAGCATAAGATCAAAAAAAACTGCATCACGGTAACCTTTAAAATGACAATTAATAATAATTCCTAATAGCCCGACTGCTATATGTAAATTATTAAAAATTGGTAATAAGAATTAATTGTAATGGATAAGAACTAATAAAAAATTTTAAAAAAATACAAATATATTTTAAAAGAATAATTTTTGCTCTATATATTTGCTTGTAAAAATTAGCGGTACCAAAAAAGTTTTACTTTTTTCATTTAAATATTTTAATTTCTAACAAATTTTTAATAATAATAAGGTTGACCCAACAGAAATTTTCTATTGTCATTTCAAAGGATACTATGACACTGTTTTTTTTTTCGATTGTGAGGTACTATTGGTATTCATTGTTAGTTAACTGTTAACCAAAGCCGACTTGCTCAAAAAACGTTTACACTGTTACATTGTATACAGGGTTGTTCACCACATACGACACGGAATATTGTAGCTAAACGATTAGATTTTTGCAAATTGTAATTTTTGGGTTTGTTGAAGGACTATTAGAGCTACGATTTAAAAATATTTTTACAAAATACAGAGTGTCCAAAATAAATAAAAAATATCAAAGTTGTATTTTTTTTTAAATGGAACACCCTGTATATTATTACATTTTTAGTTTCTACTAGTAAAATAAAGGTAAATTTGATTAAGGTTTACCGCATTTTAATCTTACCGTTTTTGAAATATTTAGGTTTTTGTCAAAATACAGTAATAATTTTAATGCTTCATTTCTCTAGGCGTATTTAAGTTTTTAAAACCAAATATTGTACTGAAGTATTTCTTTTACTAAATTTTGTGGTGCAATAATAAAAATTATACTACCATATACAGAGTGTCTAAAAATTTATTTTAAATAATTACTAGCTTTAAACGACAATAACTTGTTTAATTTAAATGGAACACCTTGTGTATTTTATGAGAATCAAATGCACAATTTAATTGTCTATCAAATTGTATTAAACCATTTTTTACCTACCTCTTCAAGTTTTCGTAGAAAGTGCATTTTCTTATAATTGAGAACCTCATTTATCAATATACCCATGGAACATAGACATTTTAGATTACTTTTAAAGATGTAACAAATTTTTAAAGATACAGATACTAATATTGTCGATATAGTTCGTTTATTTCATTAAAAAATAAAAAAAAAACTGTTTAATTAAAAATATTGGTCCTTTTTTTAACGATTCCAGTACTCAAACTACATTAACTGACTATTTGCGTTGATTAATAAGATAATAATTGCTCCAAATACTAAAAAACTAAATTTTATATATATTAGACTGTAGTAAAAAGTAACACCTTAAAAATTTTATTTCACTTTTTGACGAATGCTTATTTTTATTATTATATTAATTTCTGATTCAAATCCATTTTTATTTAGAATAATTTATTAACTAACACAATTAAGTATGTAGTTAATTAATATTTGGGCGAAAATAATGGTGGTATATTATATGAAATAATTAATGGTATACTTTATAAAGATTTAAATAGTTTTCTTTTTGTATACAAATGGGTTAGTAATATTTTCGTTTTTAGCACCTGTACATTTTGTACATTTGTTGCTTTAAAAACAATCTAAAATGTCAATATTCCATGGGTATATTTATAAATGAGGTCTAAATTATAAGAAAATACATTTTCTATGAAAACTTGAAGGGATAGGTAAAAAAAGGCATTATACAATTTGATAGACAATTAATTTGTGCATCCGATTCTCCTAAAATATACAGAGTGTTCCATTTAAATGAAAAAAAAGTTATGGCGGTTTAAAGCTAGAAATTATTTAAAATAAATGTTTAGACACTCTGTATGAGGTAGTATTATTTTTATTATTGCAACACAATAACTGATCGATAAATAAACCTCAGTAAATATTTAGTATTAAAAACTTTGAAACCCTTGGAGAAATGAAGCTTTAAAATTTTCACTGCAATTTCACAAAATTGAAAATATTTCAAAAACCTAAGGTTTAAGCATAAATAAAAGAAAATAATCTTCTATGGTTTAAGTGTGATAAACCTTAATCAAATTTACCTTCCATTTAAAAAAATGCAACTTGGATATTTTTTATTTATTTGGGACACTCTGTATCTTGTAAAAATATTTTTAGATTGCAGCTCTAATAGTCTTTCAACGAACCCAAAATTTAAAATTTGTAAAAATCTAATTGTTTAGCTACAATACTCCATGTCGTATGTGAACAAGCCTGTATAAGTATTTTGTTTTTTCAATTTCCTTTTTTAAGTTGAAGGTACATACCTGCAAATGGGGCCTCTGTAACATCAGAAACAATTCTTTGCAATCGGGACTCATGGCGGGTCGACTAAGAAGTACTTCAAGCACATCAGATAGCACTTGCATGCTATCAGACAGTATTGGTATTGGAAAAAATCTACAACTGGAATTAGTAAAAGTTCTGTCAAAAGAAATACCATGTATAACTAAATTATTTTGTGAAAGACAAACCTTTTGCGGTCGACATTGGTTAATATTTTATTATGTATGTTTACTAAGGCATTTAGTTCCTTCGATTGCAAGAGATCATTAAGGAAAGCTAGTTCTTCATCGGTAGTAGGCAAATTTGAGGCTCTTTGAAGATTACTAAATAGATCTGTCAGTGCTGAAATAATACAATTCTCATTAATACCTCGTACGTATGTAATAATAAAAAAAAATTAAAAATATAATAAAATAAAAAGGAAAACATACTAGGACCTGTCGTCCTACCTGGGTCCAGTTTTTTCTTGCCATTTGTCATCACCTCCGATGTCATTCTGGAAGAACTGGAAAAAGAAAATTTAAACTAAATTTTCTGTTTAAAATTACGATGTGAAGCCCCAGATATTCCGTAAACAGATTAAAAACATGAAGCCAGTTAAATATAACTCGAAGGTTACAACCAAAAAACAATTTGGCACACATAAAAAGTGTATTTTTAAACTGGTCTAGCAAAATTTGTGTAACTAGATATTAGTTCAAAAGGTGAATAACCTTGGAAAAAATGCAGATTTTTCACTTTTCGCCGTGCAAGGGAAAATCGCTTACAAAATAGAGGAAATTTGATCAATTACGATAATTACAAGTACGCACCTTTGTTATTGCAATATCCTTTAATTCTCATGCCGTTTTATAAGGGATAGGTCAACAATTCTCCACTGGAAATGAGGTAAACATGGCGTTCGTGAGTGAAAATTGATGCGGGCAGCTGATTTTCCGATTTTCCACTTTATTCTCGAATATTTTAGGCAACCAGGTATACATCTCTGGTTTATTTGATCTACGAAAGCCTGTGGAGAAAAGACCTACTTACCATAACCTAACTTACAAACTTTAAAGTTTAAAAGGCTTTATAATATGTTAAAAATATATATTAAAATTAATAAAATAAGTAAAGTTAAGTACTCTACTAAGAATTCTTTCAGTCATACAGTATTACTGCCTAAAACACAATTTCCACTAAAGTTAGAACGAAATAAATTAACAGACAGAGACGAAAAAATAGAAAAGGTAATTTCATCAATATCTAGTTTGTTATATTCTAAATAAACCTTCACTACTTTTTCATTGTAGTCAGAACCCTTTAATCAGTTATATAATTGGCAAGATCAACACCTGGATAATCCAAAATTCATACTACATGATGGCCCTCCTTATGCTAACGGGAAAACTCATATGGGACATGCCATCAATAAAGTAATTTATTAGATTACAGGAATAGTATAGTAGGTAACTAATTAATATATGTTTTTGTAGATTCTCAAAGATGTTATTTTAAGATACAAAGTTTTAAGTAAAACAAAAGTAAATTACATACCTGGTTGGGATTGTCATGGTCTTCCGATTGAATTAAAAGCTTTATCAAACAATTCAAAGCTGGATGCACTTGAAATTAGAACAAAAGGTTTGTTTTTAAACAATGTATAATTAAGTAGTTATCTTTAATTCTGGTTTAGCTAGACAATTTGCTGATAAAACTATTAAGCAACAAAAGCAATCCTTTATATCATGGGGTGTCATGGGAGACTGGAACAATCACTATGAAACAAAAAACGTAAATTACGTTAAGAACCAGCTAAATCAGTTTTATAAATTGTATGAAAATAATTTTATATATAGGGCTATTAAACCAATATACTGGAGCCCATCTTCTAGGTAGTATTTTATTTATAAAGTTTTTACATAAGTATATTGTAGCTCATTTTTAGAACAGCATTGGCAGAGGCAGAACTCGAATATAATGAAAAACATGTTAGCCCTAGTGCCTATGTTAGATTTGAAATAAATAATATTCCTAAGGTTCCCAATTTAAATGATAAAAGGTAATTTAAATATTTTTCCAATAATTGAACAACATTCTGTAGCATTATATACAGGGTGTATGCGGTTATATGGACGACAACTCCGTGGACACTGCCCAGCAATCAGGCAATTTGTTATAACAATTCTTTATCATATTGCCTAATTAAAAAGCCTGATCCAGATGATAAAGATTTATACATTATAGCAACTGAACTGTTTGAATCTTTTTCTAAAGAAACCAATTGTGAATATGAACTTTTAGGAGTACATTCAGGTATTTTTTTACTATTTGAGTCTAATATAATATTTAAGTCAGTAATAATGTATACTGTGATTTCTAGGAGAGATGTTACATGAAGCTTCATATTTTCATCCTATATATAAAGAGAAAGTATGTAATTTTTTACATTCTGATCATGCTACTAGTGCTAAAGGTACAGGTTTGGTTCACACTGCTCCTGCTCATGGCCCTGAGGACTTTCTTGTTGCTCACAGAAATAATATGACAATTGTAAGTATAAATTTCTTACTGATTATTGATAAGTTAATATTTATTTTTATTTGATCTTGTTTTTGGGTACATGTTCATTTAACATGTAATATACAATGGAATTGTGCATTGTGCAGTGAACAAATTACCAGAAAGTGTGTTTTTGCATAACAGTAATGCTTCCATAAAATTTCATTAGTGTATCGCTTTTCGTTTTCAAGATAATAAATAAATACATTATTTTTCCGCCATCTTTGTACCGCGATATCTCCCTAATGGTTGACTTTTGACCCAACGTTTATAAAGCAACCTACCCTTTATTTTGAACAAGGAATCACCCCCTGAAGTTTTTCGCATTTGTTTTGAAACACCCTGTATAGAGTATTTTAACGCCCACTCTTTTAGCTCTTGTTTTATATTGTTGTTGGTTCTCAAATTAGTTCTCCTCTGAGATTCAGTTTCAAATGAACTAACACTACACTCATCATCAGAAACAGTTTCAAAAATGTCTCAGTCACTACCTGATTTATGATGTTCATCAGTAGGATTATAGAAAGATGTAGTTTTTGTTTCTGATGTTGATGCATCGGCTCGCAGTGATTCTTTTTGTTTAATTCTTCGGTAGAAAGTACTAGAATATCTAAATTTCTTTTTATTCATCTTAGGCATTTTACAAAATTTCAATAAAGCTTAAAAGCAAGTAAAAGAAAACACTTAAACAGAGCAGCACATGATGTAATCTGAGGCAATTACATTTATTAGGGTATATTAAGTTACAGTCACTATAAAGTAGCCGTTTTTTTTGACCCCCGTGACTTTTAAGTGGCAATGGATGAACGACGGCTACTTTATAGTAACCTAGGAAGGTAGCAGTAACCATTTTGCTACTTTCAATGCTACTATAAATTAGAAGTAACTAGGTGTCGTGGCCGCGACAACCCCGTAATTTAAATTAAAGAAACAAAAACTTAATGGAGGCATTATGGTAGCACTTGTTAGTAACCCCTACTTTGAAAAGTTACTATAAAGTTTTTGGTCTTTTATCGTATCATATTCGAAGATTCGGGTAGTTCCAGCCACTTCTTTAAATTACATGTTTGTCACTTGCAATCAGGGTGTTTATTTTCCACTTTTATGGTAGGTAGACACTAACCGGTCACTCTCGAAATATACTTCAAAGTGACTAGTCCTTATAGAGTAACATTTTAAGTGGCAGAGTCAGCCTAGGAACTATACTTTAGGGGCAGTGACATTTTAAAAAGGACTGGGAACTATATTTGCTAGTTGGGAATATTTATTTTTAGAATAATTTAATTATTGAAGTACCTTTAATTAATGTAACTATTCATTTGACAAACTACATTTAGTTTGTATAAGTTACTCATATGACTCATATCTTAACACTTATTTTTAGATTGATTTAGTTAATGATGAAGGACATTATTCTACAGAGGCCGGAGAACATTTCGTAAACAAATTCGTCTTAACAGAAGGTAACGACATAGTATTGAACTTCTTAGGTGATAACTTGTTGCACAAAAGCACCATTGAACACAGCTATCCTTATGATTGGAGAACCAAAAAACCTGTGATAATTAAAGCTAGTAAACAGTGGTTTCTTGACACTGAAAGAGTAAAACATAGAGCCACTGTAAGCGTTTTATAAAAAATATAATTATAAATAATTATATTAGTGAATATTTTAGGAACTATTAAGTGATGTAAAAATTATACCAGAACACAAGAGTGAAATGTATAGAAAAGTTCTGATTAATCAGATTCAAAAGAGGTCTTACTGGTGTATATCAAGGCAAAGGAAGTGGGGTGTGCCAATACCTGTTTTTTATGATAAAAATTCTGGAGAAGTTTTACTAAATCAGTAATAAAAAAAGAATGTAAAAAAAATGTTTCTCTCAAAAAAAAATGTTTCAGGAATACATTTAATCATATTACTGACCAGTTGAGCAGACATGGAACTGATTTTTGGTGGACGTTACCTACTAGTGATCTTTTACCAAAGGAATATACAGAAAATGGTTTAGACTATGAAAAGGGCCAGGTACTAACTATATCAGATTTACATAAAATAACATTGAGATAATTTGATTTCTATAGGATATTTTAGACATTTGGTTTGACAGTGGAATTTCGTGGTCAAGTGTTTTGGAAGAACCTCAAATAGCTGACTTGTACTTAGAAGGTGTTGATCAGTTTACAGGATGGTTTCAGGCTAGTTTACTGACATCTGTAGCCTTAAGAGACAAGGCACCATATAAGGCGATATTTGTACATGGATTTGCTGTGGACAAAAACGGTGTGAAAATGTCAAAATCTTTGGGAAATGTCGTTGATCCGGAGGAAGTTATAAGGGGTAAAAAAGGAAACAATGCTTATGGAGTTGATACTCTCAGGTATGTGGATCTTAAGAAATGTAAAATTATCTAAAATAGTTTAATTTTAAATAATATTTTAGATGGTGGGTGGCATGTCATGCAAATCAAGTGTCATTAGCGTCAATTAGTGACAACATCTTAACCCGATCTAAAGATGAAGTACAAAAAATTCGTAATACAATGAGGTTTTGTTTGGGAGGTCTGAATGGGTATGAATATGATGGCACAGATGAGGAAAATTTGTTGCTTATTGATAGATACATGTTACACTTGCTGTCTGAATATTCTGAAGAGGTAGGTAATTTTTTAAGTAACGTTTATAAGACAAAACATACAAACATTTACATAACAAAATGTATTTTCAGGATTTCAATATTGGTTGAATTTTAATTTATTAACCCATAATCTTTAATTTTTGTAAAGTGCATCATCTTAAGAGATGTAAGTCTGGTTGTTAACAACGGATATTTTAGAAACGTCTAGGTTAACTTATTTCATTGGGATTTATGAAAAAAAGTCCTTTGCCTCGGGTACAGATACCGCCATGTTTTGGAAATAGTTCAAAACAAATTTCAACGAGGCAACAGTTAGTTTTTTTTAGTTTTTTTCATTAAAAGAATCTAAAATAGGCCGAGACAAACCGAAGTAGGTCAAAACAACTGGCCAAACCGAAATGCGACAAAGTTGGGCGACGAAACGTGACCTTAACCTGCTTCGAAGAGTTCTCCTCGTAGTGTAGAGCGTGTTTTACACTTTTAGAATAATTATGTAATAAATTTTTCGAATACTCCCTATTTAAATGCGTGTGTTCGCATATGCCGGTTGTTTACGATATTCTCCGATGGTGGTACATCAGGCGGAGAATGCACCAAGCCTACAGAAAATACCGTTTGATCGAAAAAAAACGCCGTCCAGTTGGCTTGGAAATGAATACATAAATAAATAAATGCCTTTATTGTCAAAAAATGTTACAATTTGTAGACAAAGGTAAAGTAAACAAACAAAAGAGAATACAAAACATGTACACAAATTACATTATCAGTCTTATTGTTTAAAATAAACATTTATAAATGTTTACAATGTCAAAGAATAAAAAAATAAAAATAAGATTCAAAAATATTTTAAAAAAATATATTCAAAGATATATTTAGTAAGTTTATAGTAAATATAGTAATAGCATAGTATAAATATTAGACCAGTGTTTACAAGATCAAATTAGATTATCAAAATATTCAAAATAGACAAAAAGTCATTTACGGCGTAGAAAGCCTTGTCTAGTGAATAAGATTTCAATGCTTTGCGAAATGAAGAAAATGATGTTATAGATTTGATTTCAAATGGCAGGTGATTGTCATTTTTTTCGAATTGTATAATATTGAACTTTTAACTAACTCTGAGCGTGGGGTGCGTAGATAAAAATCTTGCTCTGCGTTCCTGAGTGGATAAGTGTGAGATGATCTTTCTTGAGAAGCTGAATCATGCTTACGTATTAGGCAAACAGATTCAAATATAAATAAGGAAGGAAGAGTTAATATTTTTAATTTTTTAAAAAAGTCCTGGCAATGAGTTCTGGTGTTTAGTCCCAGTGAATATCGAACAGCTCTCTTCTGGAGCTTGAAAATGCAGTCAAATTGAGTCGCACAACACGTACCCCAGAATGGAAGGGCATATCTGAGGTGTGACTCAAAAAGTGCATAATAAACAGTTCTAGCCACTGACAAGTTAAGATGAACATCAATGGCAATCCCCATATAAAATGACAGCGATCTTCATTTCATAGCCATCGCTAACGCCGTTTCTTTTGTCGATCATACGGTACTTTGATATAGTAATTTTCTGTTTACATCTGGTTCGTATATTTTTGGGACCTTCATTTTATATCCTAAGGTTTGTCTATTTTGATTATAAGTAAGAGTTTAATCTAAATCCTTTCATTAAAAAAGACTTATACTATGCGGACTTTTTTTATGACACTATTTTAATCAAAAAACACTAAGAACTGCTTCGTTCTCTAAGACACACTCTATTTTATTTTTTATTTCAGATTAAAGAACACGTAGAATCATACAATTTCCATCGTATCAACACTTCTTTGCTCCCGTTTCTAACCAATCAAATATCTGCCCTATACTTCACGGCAATCAAGGACAGACTATATTGTGACCCTGAAAAAGGCTCAGCCAGAAAATCGGCTCAGTACACTTTACTACAGATATTTCATACAATTACCCGAAGCGTAGCTGGTATCGTTCCATATTTAGCTGAGGAATTGTATGCTCATTTGCCTCAGAAAAGTTCTGAGTCATATTTTACCAGTCCTAAATACGAGCCAAGCGAAAGCTGGAAGAATCCTGAGTTAGAAGAAGCTATGAATTTGATTTTAGATATCAGAACGGAAATAAATAAAACGTACAGTAATGCTAATACGCTTCATTTGGATGTTTTGGTGGAGTTAGAAGATAAAAAATATCAAACACTTACGGTAAGTTAGATAGACTTTAGTTTTGTAAGGTTATACTTAAACAAAAATATTTTTTAGAACTTAAATGAAAAAGTTAAGTTAGAGGAGCAGCTTAAGGATATTTTTCAAGTGTCACACGTTACTATACAGGGTGGTTTGGATGACCAAGTAGGACTTAAAGTGACAGGATACCAAAGCAAGCTTCATAGTTGTCCCAGATGTAGATTATTACAGTCTAGCATAGAGAACGACTTGTGTGGAAGATGTCAATTTGTGCTGAATGAACTGATCGTTAATAAAAAGTTTGTTGCTAGTTAAACAAGTCTCTTATTTTAAGGAATATCACAGTAATACAGTGATTATAGTTTAACTAGTTGGAGTCTGGCGCATCCGCCACTACATACTTACGGAAAAAAATACTTTTTATTTTTTTTAATTAAATGAAAAACAAAAAATCCGGGGACGACAGTTTTTAGAAGAGCCAATTAGCCATCTTTTAGTATAAAAAGCAACTTTCTAGAGCAAGTCGTTACTTCAGTAGAGACGACACAGATAAACATTAGCATTTTATATATTTAGATTTTGGTGTGATCAGTTTTGAAGATATTTTTATTACAAAATACTTTGAGATAAAAAGCATTAAGAATTTAGCATTTTATAATTTCGAAACAAATTAAAATATGTAAAAAATTTAATCTAAAGATGGCTGTATTAAAAAAAAACTCAATGTAGATTATAGTATAATTATGGCATTTTTACAATGACTAATCAACAGTACAAAAACATAGTCCTTTAAATATGAATTGTTTCGTTAAATAAATTTAAATTACCATGCATGTTTAGGGTTTTTAGAGATAGTAAAAACGTTAAATGGAGGACATGTAAGGTTTTATATAAACTGTCAGAAAATGAAATAAAAATAAAGAAAAGACGATCGGAGAGTTTTTAAGAAAAGTTTATAACGATTTCAAGGTTATACAGGGTGAGTCTTTAATAAGTGCAAATATTTTTAGGGCTGGTAGATCTCGATAAGAGAAACATATTTTCTCTTTACCATTTTTCAGATAAGTCCAAAATAACCGAGTTATTTCAGTTTGAAATTTAAAAAAAAATTAATTTTTTTTTGAAAAAATTTTGAGAGCCACCGGATTTTTTCTGTATTTGCATCCCTATTATTGCCGTAACCATAGAGTAAAGCCGTAACGATGGTAATATCTGAGATTAAGAAATTATACCCTGGTAAAATTCGCGGTGAACAGGCAGTTCTAAAAATTTTTCGAAAAATATACAGGGAAATTTAAAAGGAAATGCACCATTTTCAACATCTTTTTCTAGCGAAAAAACCTCATAGACGTGTTCCTGGGGTCGAAATATACCACCCCTGAAAATATTTGCACTTATTTAAGACTCACCCTGTATATTGAGATTTTTATGGAACACATGAGTTACCCTGTATATTTAAAAGTTTGCCAAAAATTGCAAAATTACGCATAAATAATTATTTCCTAACTATATACTAAGGTATATTTTTCTAAGAAACAATACTAAAAAACGTCATAAAAATCGCCATTCTTTTGAATATGCGCTTGTGAGTCTACGTCTAGAAAGTTTTCAAAAAATTCACACACAAATCTTCAAACCAGAAATATACCAGACAAAATAAAATGTAACAAAATTATAACTCTGAGGTTTAAGCACGTACTCTGCGTACGTACTTATGGTACTTATCATAAAAAATGTATTTTTTGAAAAATGCTTCAATTATGGTCGACGTTTTCAGAAATTTAATGAACAATAACATTTTTATACTCCAGTAAATGTATTTTAAGTATTATACAGAGTGACAGTAGAGGGTGCAGATTTTTTATAAATCTATACGTTATGAAATTAGGCCTAATTATCAGTGGCGTAACCATAATAGTTTTTCAAGTATTATTTTATTATTGAAAAAGATTATTATTAATTAATTAAACAGACTTTATAATAATAATACAGATATATAATATATAATATCTAACATATATATACAGGCTGAGTTTCCTACGATGTTCTCTATGGGTATCTCGGAAACTATTGGAGATAGAGAGTCGGTTAAATGGGGAAAGAATTGCAGTTTTGTGGGGTCATAAATATGCGCCTTTCAGATTTTTGAAAAAGTTCATGGCTTACTAGATATTTCGAAAAAAACAAATTTCGGCTATTTTAAAAATTGTCCCTAACTCCATTATAAGCTATTTTAGACAAAAAGTTTTCAGATAAAAGTTGTAGATAATCACATCCTTTATGAGACTGTGCCCTCCGTTTTCTTCTAAAGCCTGTCATTTTTGACATATGACACAAACATATGTTTTTTTAAATGGAAACCATAGTTGGCCATGACTTCATAAAAAGCGACATTTTTAAAGCTTTTCAGCGATATAAGCTATAATATGTTTTATTCGAAAAATTACAGAGTTATAGCCAATTCTTATCATTTTTAAACAATTTGACTTAGTTAGCCATGGAAACAATAAGTTTAATCGTCTTTGCTCTCAGAAATGTGAAGCTCACACATCCAAATTTTGTAAATTAAAATAAACAAAAATTGTAAATATGAATTTTTCAAATGAAGAAAAGATTATTTATTCATTTTTCAAATGAATCAATAATCTTCAGTAAATATGTAGTATTAAAAACTCTGATATACCCTTGGAGAAATGAAGCCTTCAATTTTTTACTGCAATTTCACAAAATTGAAAATATTTCAAAAACGGTAAAGTTTAAGTATGATAAACCTTTATCAAATTTACCTTTATTTTAATCGTAGAATCTAAAAATAGAATAATATACAGGGTATTCCATTTAAAAAAATACTTAAAATATTCAGTGAAGAATTTTTTCAAAAATAAAATTAGGTGTATTTAAAACAAATTTGTTTAAAATTGGGATGAAAGGGAAAATTAAAGTGTTTAAAAAATAACGTATAAATAATAAAACAGACCTATGTTCAACTTATAGTTTATCAATCATAGAGTCCTCTGATAGTGACAGAGTTGTCTGTCATTTTAATATTCAAATTTAAATTTTTGATGTCGTCTGTTCAAATTATGTCATGGGACATAATTTGAACCCTCCTGTCATGGGACAGACTTTATCCAGTGTTTACAATAAATGTAGTACGTACTATATTAAAACTCAAAATTTTGTTACACAAACTTGAAATTTCTAATTTAGAATTTAGTAAGCCTAAAGAAGTGAGAATTCCAGTCCTAAAACATTCTCTAAAAATCTGCATCTGGGTACCTACAGATAAAACTTTTTTACAGAAGCCTCAGTAAAATTTCGTTTCGGTACAACTATGGGACATAATTTGAACCCTCCTGTCATGGGACAGACTTTATCCAGTGTTTACAATAAATGTAGTACGTACTATATTAAAACTCAAAATTTTGTTACACAAACTTGAAATTTCTAATTTAGAATTTAGTAAGCCTAAAAGAAGTGAGAATTCAGTCCTAAAACATTCTCTAAAAATCTGCATCTGGGTACCTACAGATAAAACTTTTTACAGAAGCCTCAGTAAAATTTCGTTTCAGTACAACTATGGGACATAATTTGAACCCTCCTGTCATGGGACAGACTTTATCCAGTGTTTACAATAAATGTAGTACGTACTATATTAAAACTCAAAATTTTGTTACACAAACTTGAAATTCTAATTTAGAATTTAGTAAGCCTAAAGAAGTGAGAATTCCAGTCTAAAACATTCTCTAAAAATCTGCATCTGGGTACCTACAGATAAAACTTTTTACAGAAGCCTCAGTAAAATTTCGTTTCGGTACAACTATGGGACATAATTTGAACCCTCCTGTCATGGGACAGACTTTATCCAGTGTTTACAATAAATGTAGTACGTACTATATTAAAACTCAAAATTTTGTTACACAAACTTGAAATTTCTAATTTAGAATTTAGTAAGCCTAAAGAAGTGAGAATTCCAGTCCTAAAACATTCTCTAAAAATCTGCATCTGGGTACCTACAGATAAAACTTTTTTACAGAAGCCTCAGTAAAATTTCGTTTCGGTACAACTATGGGACATAATTTGAACCCTCCTGTCATGGGACAGACTTTATCCAGTGTTTACAATAAATGTAGTACGTACTATATTAAAACTCAAAATTTTGTTACACAAACTTGAAATTTCTAATTTAGAATTTAGTAAGCCTAAAGAAGTGAGAATTCCAGTCCTAAAACATTCTCTAAAAATCTGCATCTGGGTACCTACAGATAAAACTTTTTTACAGAAGCCTCAGTAAAATTTCGTTTCGGTACAACTGTTTATGGAATTTATAAAACCGTTATCTGAATAATCAAAACATAAACACGTAATATTAGAAAGATATTTAAATAATTTGATAATCTAAAAGAGTTAATTGAGACATTGTCAATACAAAATAACATAACTTGTTCAAACTGTCGAAGATAAACGATTTCAAGTGCCACTACTATGTACTATGTCTTGTAGATTACGATTGTTTTGATAAAAATAGTTTTGTAGATTATCCTTTAATTCAGAATTCTCAGAAACTGAACAGATTTAACATTTTTCCTCTCAGAAATTCTATTAATAAATTTAGACTATTTTCTCTTCAAAACATGTACACGATAAGGTACTGAAACATCTAAATATATCTCGCCAAATCCCTTTACATATAATGCGATTATTTTGGATAGATGAAATCACTGGTATGATGCATGCACAACATAATTTGGAGTTGTCAATATGACCTGATCTATTATTTATAATTTTATTGTAGATTAGTTTGACAAGTATTCTTAAATAAGTGATGTATCGTCTTGGTCCGATACATATACAGTGGCGGTACTATAGGTTATGTACAATCCGTAATGAAAGTTGATAATTTTGTAAACAAATCAACGTTGTTTATAACATTAAACTCATTATTATTATCGAAAATAAGTATTTTAATTATTTTATTTTGAATGTGGTAGACCCGAAAAGAAGAGAGTAAAGAAACCAAGAAACAACCTAACACATCTCCATCAACGGGCAAGAGATGGAGCGAGAACCTCTCACCTCTTCTCTGATAGGGAGAGAAAAAAGCCAGGATGGAAAGCCGTCAAACACCGGGAGGCAAACAGGGACGTCCCAAGCAGCATTTGGACGTCGGGACAACGTTGTGTCACGCGACCAAACGTCGGGGCGCAACGTCGGCACAACCTCGTGCCAACCCTAGTCTGCACTAGTTTGGAGAATAATTTTTGGGTCGAAACGACGTTGGATACCGACGTTGGCTAGAAGCCTAATTTAGTACAAACT